GGAACGCAGACGCGTCACCAGGAGACCCAGTCCACAGACGGGTCGGCGAAACCTGCGGCTGCTGAGGGTGCGGCCACAAGTTAAGCTGGTGAGAAGCGTAGCGCACAGCGAACGGCCACAGAAAATGGGGTGCACCGGCATGGACCATGGAGGTGCGAGCGACCTCCATGACCAAGCCGATGCGTCGCTCAGCGACCCCATTCTGCTGTGGGGAGTCCGGTAGGGTGAACGTCTGGGTGATGCCCTCTGCACGACAAAAGCGACCAAGGACACCTGAGGCAAACTCGCCACCACGGTCTGAGTGAAGACGCAAGACAGGGAGACCGCGGTGGACACGCGCAGAGACAAGCCAGGGGATGAGGGCGCCAGGCACGTCGGCCTTGCGCTCCAGGGGAAAGACTGTGGTGTAACGAGTGAAGTCGTCGACAAGCACAAGGAAGTAGCGCTCGCGACGCGGCCCAGGGACGGGGGCGGGGCCCCAGACGTCCAGGTGCAGGGTCTGCAGCGGCGCGGCGGTAGGGGGGAACGAGGAGGAGTGAGGGGCACGGCGAAGCCGACCCTCGACACAGGGCGTGCAAGGTGGAGCTGGGGAGGAGGGAAACGCGGGGAGTGAACCTGGGAGACCAAGGACAAGACCGTGCTGGGACATGTGACGCAGACGCGGGAGCGCAGGGTGACCTAGGCGATGGTGCCACAGGAGGGTCGGGTGAGTGAGGGAGCGACAGGAGCAGGCAGCAGCAACCTGGGTAGACACAGCCACCTGAGGGGGCGCTCCAGCCGGGGGGGGCACGGTGTCCAGAGTGAACAGGCCGGACACCGGGTCCCGGGGGAACGTGGACAGGGGGGCACCAGTGGCGGCCTCGGTACAGACAGCATACCGCTCGTGACCAGGGAACGTAGTGGTGACGCCAAGGTCCTGGAGGCAGCCGACACCAACTAGGTTCCTGGAGAACGAGGGGATATGCAGACCTGTAAGAGAGCCCGAAGGAACCGCCGGACAGGGAAGGGTGGTGGAACTGCGGGCGACTACACAAAGCAGGGGATCCTACGCCTGACGCAGCAGGGGAGGCTAAGCTAGGCACAACTACACTAGGCAACAATGAGTAATAAGTCGGAAGCACACTAGAGTCATCAGCATACATCACATGCAGAGCAGAAACAATGGCATCCATGTCCATATCAAAGATCTGAATCTGACGACTAAGCAAACTGTGCCAGTCCGGGAGGTCTGGCGATGTGAGAGTACGACCCCGTTACACCACTTGGCCTTTTCTTATTTCCTTCCCTTTTCATTTCTCGTTTTACCACATCTCATTTGGTTTCCTATTTTCCATTTTCCATTATCCTTTGGTCTCTTCCTTTATTATAATTATATCACCGACCAGGCATGGAATGTACTAGAGACGTTATCCAGCGTAATCCTGCCGTAATCCCTTAAAGCCAATAGCCTCACGTGGCTATACGCAGGGTGATTCTATCTTCTAGAAGGGTCTATTCCCTTAGGATAAGATAAACCTGGTTACCTGATGTACTCTGGAAGTATAAAAGCGCCTTGTACCGATCGATAGTGCAACCTTTCCTCGACACATTCGATCATGTGACAGGCGACGGGCCGAAACGCTGACGAAAGAGGTCGTCCAGGCGACGAAAGCAGCGGGGAGTGGAGTGACCGATCTTACCGCAAACGAAACCGCGGCGAGGACCGGTCTGGATCTGGTACTGACAACGCCCGCCGGCAGAGCCACCACGCGGCACACCACCACGCGCCCGTCCACCGCCAGCGCCGGGCCACCCTGGCGGGAGAACACTCGTCTGCCGCGTCTGCGACGGCTGCTGCAGCTGCTGCGAAGGCTGCGACTGCGGCGGCTGCTGCGGCTGCTGCAACTGCAGGGGCGGCGACTCAGCTGGACTGGGCAGGGTCCCCTCGTCCGCTCCAGCACCAGGCGACCCGACCCCACCACTACCCCCGCCCGCACCCCCGCCGCCCCCTCCGCCGCGCCCAGCCTTGGGGCGGCGGCCCTTCCCAGAACGGGCCTGCGCTGCAGCAGCAGTCTCAGCCACAGCGGCAGAGCCGTCGGAGAAGGTACACTGAGCGGGGGCACAACCCTGAAAGATAGGGACCGGCACGACACCGCTCGCCTGGGCGATGGAGCGGTGACGGGTCTCTATCACAGTCAGGGTGTCGACAAAGTCAGTGAGGGTGAGGTCTGCGGGGTGAACACTAAGGAAGCGGTCGCGGGCGACAGCAAGGCGGTCAGGGAGGCAGGTGGCAAGCAGGTAGAGGGTAGAGGTAATGGGCGGCTGGTGGGCTCTAAGCTGTGCGTCAGTGCATGCGGCGCGCCAGGTCTCCTCTATCGAGCGCAGGTGGGCAGCGAGGTCAGAGACAGTGGGGAACGAAGCAAGGTCAGGAAAGAGCAGCGGGAGGATCAGGCGACCCACCGAGGCAGCTGGAGGGGTGGAATAGCGCTTGATGACAGCATCTAGGTATGCCTGAGCAGTAGTGAGGGACCTAAAGCGAGGACGCTCGGACGGGGGGAGGGCGTTGCTAATGGCAAGCTGGGCGACAGCATCGCGAGAAAGCCAGACTGAGCGCGCACGGGCAGTGGCAGCAGTAGACTCACGCTCAGTGGGTGTGGGGTCAGCGGGCAGAATAGCAGGAGGGTCTGGGCAGGGGAGCGTACCGTCAAGGTGTGCGGAAAGCGGTTCACCATCCTGCCGCTGGCCAGTGAGTTGGCGGCGGAGGTCGGCAAGCCACGCCTCGAACTCTAGGGGCTGACCTTCAGCGTCGAAGCGAAGCTCCGCCGCCATCAGGAACAGTCCAGTGCTGTGCAGGGCGGTGCAGCTAGGTGGGGTGCGGTGCAGTGCGATACAGTGCGGTGCAGTGCGGTGCAGTGTGGTACTGTGCGGTACAGTGCGGTGCAGTGCGGTGCAGTGCGGTGCAATGCGGTACAGTGCGGTGCAGTGCGGTGCAGGGCTGCACGGAGCAGGGCGGGGTGGGGGGGGGGGGGGGGGGGGGACCGTACCAGTGAGGAGGACGGGGCCGGGGCTGGCCCGACGGGGCCGGGCGGGCGCGACGGGGCCGGGCTGATGCGACAGGGCCGCGACGGGGCGACGGGGCCGGGCTGGGGCGACGGGGCCGGGCGAGTGCGGCAGGGCCGGGCCGGTGCGACGGGGCCGGGCGAGCGGGACGGCGGCCGGGCTGGTGCGACGGGGCCGGGCGGCTGTGACGGGGCCGGGCAGGGTGCGACGGGGCCGGGCGGCTGCGACGGGGCCGGGCGGCTGCGACGGGGCCGGGCGAGCGCGACGGGCCGGGCAGGGTGCGACGGCGCCGGGCGGGCGCGACGGGGCCGGGCGGCGGCGACGGCGCCGGGCGGGCGCGACGGGGCCGGGCGGCGGCGACGGGGTCGGGCGGGCGCGACGGGGCCGGGCGGCGGCGACGGGTACGACGCGGCCGAGGAGGGGCGCTACGGGGCCCAGGAGGGGCACGACGGGGGGCCCAGGAGAGGCGCTACGAAGCCCAGGAGGGGCGCGACGAGGCCCAGGAGGGGCGCTACGGGGCCTGGGAGGGGCGCGACGGGGCCTGGGAGGGGCGCGACGGGGCCCAGGAGGGGCGCTACAGGGCCCAAGGAGGGCGCGACGGGGCCCAGGAGGGGCGCTACGGGGCCCAGGAGGGGCGCGACGGGGCCCAGGAGGGGCGCGAAAGAGCCCAGGAGGGGCGCTACGAGGCCTGGGAGGAGCGCGACGGGGCCCAGGAGGGGCGCTAGGGGGCCTGGGAGGAGCGCGACGGGGCCTGGGAGGGGCGCGACGGGGCCTGGGAGGGCGTTACAGGGCCCAGGAGGGGCGCTACGAAGCCCAGGAGGGGGCGCGACGAGGCCCAGGAGGGGCGCTACGGGGCCCAGGAGGGGCGCGACGGGGCGCTACGGGGCCTGGGAGGAGCGCGACGGGGCCCAGGAGGGGCGCTAGAGGGACTGGGAGGGGCGCGACGGGGCCTGGGAGGGGCGCGATGGGGCCTGGGAGGGCGGTACAGGGCCCAGGAGGGGCGCTACGAAGCCCAGGAGGGGCGCGACGAGGCCCAGGAGGGGCGCTACGGGGCCCAGGAGGGGCGCGACGGGGCGCTACGGGACCTGGGAGGAGCGCGACGGGGCCCAGGAGGGGCGCTAGTGGGCCTGGGAGGAGCGCGACGGGGCCTGGGAGGGGCGCGACGGGGCCTGGCAGGGGCGCTACGAAGCCCAGAAGGGGCGCGACGGGGCCTGGCAGGGGCGCTACGAAGCCCAGGAGGGGCGCTACGGGGCCTGGGAGGAGCGCGACGGGGCCCAGGAGGGGCGCTAGGGGGCATGAGCGGAAGCGGTAGGTGGGGGGGGGGGGATCCTACCTACGCGTGATACCATATCAGAATAATTGAATAATGGTAAAGTGAGAGTACACACAAATATATCTAAGTTTTGTATCCTCTAAGAGGTGACTCTATACAGTCTATACAAACATGACAAATACACATGTTTGACAGTTGTGTGTGGGGCGGCCGAGGCTTTGCTCTGCTGCTGGGCACCATCGCTGTGCTGCCGGGCACCATTGTTGCTATTCTGGTGACCTCCGGTCTGTCTCGAAAGCAGGAGCCGAAGCAGCGATGGAAGTGAGTGGTAGGGGATGTGAGGAAAAATCCGGGGGAGTGTGGAGGATGGGTACAAACGAAGGACTGGTCTAGGTAGCTGTGCTTTAGATTACTCTTCTGTTGACCTTGTGTGTGTCTGTGGCAATACTACATTTTACCTAGCCACTCGTGAGTTTACGGTGCCCATGTCTTTCACTCGGCAATAGAGAGGATGCAGAAAAAAGCTCATGCTCTTAGAAACTTAGGACACTAGCTTAGCTAGGAAGCTAGGAGACTAGGAAGGCCGCCATGGAATGGCGGGGGGAAAGTAGATCTAGGAGGGAGAACATGTCGAGAAAGAAGAGTGACGATTAGGAAGAGAGAGAGGTACAAGGAGGGGATTGCACCCTCTACAGAAAGGTTCAGTAACAACTACCAAGCCTATCAATTATATATAACTTATATAATCTCAACACATGCGCCTGAGGGCAAAGAGAGGAGTACAAGCTTAGCTGCTGTTGCAAATGATATCAGCCCAATAGCTGCCAACCATACACTGACCACCAAGTTACGCACCACCACAGCTGAGCCCCCTATACATCACATCATATCTACTTCAATCATATGGCATGATGTGAGCAGCTGCCACAGCTACAAATTCTGAGCAAGTTGCAGTCACTGCACAGCAATGGGTGCTGCTGTCGATGACGCTGCCACAGAACTTGCCACAGAACTGACCACTCCTGTTGCTGCAGACACCACGGCAGCAACAGCAACAGAGGCAGAAACAGCAGCCGCAGCAGTAGGTGCAGAGTCCCCAGGGTCAACTGTTGCAGAGGCTGCTACAGGCTTCGGGGGAGGCACAGACTCAGCAGCAGCAGCACCATCCCCACTGGTCTGAGATGCAGCGACACCAGGATAAGGTGCAGCGCTGCAAGGGTGGTTGGCTTCTGTAGGGACAACGGTGACGAGGTGAGCGGGTGGTGGGGCGGCAGCACGAGCAGGAGGGGGCAGGAAGCCGACGTGGTGCAGGGCGTCCTTGAGCGCTCGGAGCACGAGAGCAATGTTGGCGACACGGGCGTTGTTGCCCATGATGCCGATGCGCCACACCTGGTAGTGGAAGGGGAGGGAAAGGAGAGAAGAGAGAAAAGACCTTGTAAGGCACTTGGGCTGAAGCAGCAGCAGCAGGAGCAGGAGGGGGCAGGAAGCCGACGTGGTGCAGGGCGTCCTTAAGCGCTCGGAGCACGAGAGCAATGTTGGCGACACGGGCGTTGTTGCCCATGATGCCGATGCGCCACACCTGGTAGTGGAAGGGGAGGGAAAGGAGAGAAGAGAGAAAAGACCTTGTAAGGCACTTGGGCTGAAGCAGCAGCAGCAGGAGCAGTCGGGGGCAGGAAGCCGACGTGGTGCAGGGCGTCCTTGAGTGCTCGTAGGAGAAGAGCAATGTTGGCGACACGGGCATTGTTGCCCATGATGCCAATGTGCCACACCTGGGAGGAATGGAATGGGGAGAGGGGCGGGGGACGGGGAGGGGGAGGGGGGGAGTGGGGGGGGGGGGGGGGGGTTTGGGGAACATGGTGGCGGTGGGGAAGGGGAGGGGAGGCGAGGGGAGGGGAGGGGTGGACGCCTGGGCTATGACTGAGACCGATGAACTGATATGCAGTTTCTACCCGAATGCTCATCCACCCATCCACCCGTGTAAACACGCACTTAATCACTCATTCGCACTCTCCCCTTCAAAACGTTTTTCCTTTCTCTCCCACCCTCTCACGCACCATGCCAACGGTGGGCCCCAGCCCCCCGGCAATCTCGAGGTTGTATTTCTCCATCAGGTATGACGTCACCTGCGCCCATTGCACGCCCTCAGGCACCTTGATGGTGGTCACCGTGGGCAGGCGGAGGGACGGGTCCTTCACGAATAGCTCAAGGCCGAGCTGATGGGGTGGGGAGACAGGGATAAGGGAGAGGGAAGGGTGCGATGAGTGGATGAGATAGGCCAAGATCGAAGGCACCTTGATGATGGTCACCGTGGGCAGGCGGAGGGACGGGTCCTTCACGAATAGCTCAGGGCCGAGCTGATGGGGTGGGGAGACAGGGATAAGGGAGAGGGAAGGGTGCGATGAGTGGATGAGATAGGCCAAGGTCGAAGGCACCTTGATGGTGGTCACCGTGGGCAGGCGGAGGGACGGGTCCTTCACGAATAGCTCAAGGCCGAGCTGATGGGGTGGGGAGAAAGGGATGAGGGAGGGGGAAGGGTGTGATGAGTGGATGAGAGAGGCCAAGGTCGAAGGCATCTTGATGGTTGTCACAGTGGGCAGGCGGAGGGACGGGTCCTTCACAAACAGCTCCAGGCCGAGCTGGGGGGGGGGAAAGGAAGGAAGGGGGTGAGAGCGATGGGGTGAGGTTGAGGTTGGCGAAAGGTAGAAGGCACCTTGGGAAGGGGAGAGGGAAGGGGGTGAGGGAGAGGGAAGGAGGGGATGAGTGGATGAGATGGCCAAGGTCGAATGCACCTTGATGGTGGTCACTGTGGGCAGACAGATGGACGGGTCTAGACCGACTTCACGGGTGGGTACGGGGGGGAAAAGGGGGGGAGGAGGGAGAGAGGGGGGGGGGGGTGTGCTGGCGGTGCTCGAATGTACTCGACTCCTCTCCCTTGTCTCACCTCCCCAATCCCAGCGTGCAGCTTATCAGCCAGGGAGCGGTGGCGGTGCCACACACTCTCCAGCCCCTCATCCACCACGGTGCCACTCGGCACAAGAGCGTGGCAGTATCGATAAGCTAAATCACCTTCTTGGTGTCTCACCTCCTCAATCCCAGCGTGCAGCTTGTCAGCCAGGGAGCAGTGGCGGTGCCACACACTCTCCAGCCCTTCGTCCACCACCAGCGCTAGCGCCTCTCTGAGGGCCATGATGTTACTGCCGATCGCTGCATGGCGGTGGGGTCAATACAAGATGACGGATGATGACATGGATTAATTGGATTGAGCAAATGGAATGCCAAAGGGGAACATTGGGCTAGATGTATGGAGGGTTGTCTTGTCAGTACTTACATGTGTGGTGGTACACGTTTGGCTTGCCGTCGACAGCCCAGAACGCCCCAGCCTGTTGTTAACCAAAGAAGCGAGCACAAATGCATAGATATCGGTTCATTCACAAATGGGATAACGGAACTCGATGCTCTTCTTATGCGCAAGGGAACTTGAACTTGGAACAAACACGAGGAGGTACAGCTTACCACATTCATATCAAAATAGTATGTCTGGATCTGGTGTGCCTTGCTTTTGAGCTTCTCCCTCGCACGCTCATTCATGGTGAATGGCGAAGGCGAAACAAGGGATGACAGGCACTTTTGTGACCTGCAAGTCCCACGAAGACAGCCAGCAGCATACTTTTGAGTCTGCATAACATTATGTATATCAAATCACATTTTAAGAGGGGAAAGCGATTTTTTAGCGAGGGAGATCGGTGTACTATGTACCCGCTATAGCACACGTCGATGTCCCACTCGTCCATGAGCATGGGCACTCCGCCCGCCGTGCAAATCGCGTCCACCACGAGTAGCGCACCTGGCGGGCCAGGGGGAAATGTGAGGGAGACACGGCAGGGGGCTTCAGCAGCAGCATCCAGTTTTCGTGCGGGAACACGGGGGGAGGGGAGCCACCTCCACCTCTTCGTGCAACTGTAAAATTGACATGCGAATGGCCCCCAGGCATGAGATTATTGGGGGGAGGGCGGACGGCTGGAAAGAAAGAAGGGTCACCTCACTGGCACATGCGAGTTGTGGCCCTCTCAAAGTCGCGCCTTTTGAAAATCAGTCTCCTTATGACTTGACACCTACTTGGTCGAGGAGAGTTCGCAGGGTGTCTGTCTACCAGACTGCCGTAATCCTCTCACCATGCTTGCGGCACAGCCCCCCCAGCCTCTCTAAAGGCAGCACCGTGCCCGTGCTCGACTCCCCGTGCACCACGAAAACCGCCGCGACTCCCCGCTAATCCCCGCTACGAGAATAGTACGCGCTGTAAGCAATCTCACCGTGCTTATGGCAGAGATCCCCCAACCCCGCTAGAGGCTGCAGCGTGCCCGTGCTGGACTCGCCGTGCACCACGAACACCGCCGCGACGCCCGGGTTCGCCTCCAGGGCGCGCGCGAAGTCGTCAAGGGAAAACACCTCCCCCAGAGGCGCCTGAATCGTGCGCACGTCGCCACCGTGTCGCCGCGCGAGCAGCGCCATCCGCTCGCCCCACATGCCGTTGATTGCCACCAGCGCGACGTCGCCGGGCGCCACAACCTGAGGTGTGATTTTAGCGGGAGGAAGCGGAGGTTAGTCATTAGAGGGGGGTCTAATAACGAAATCTATCGGTTTTGTACTAAGACGAGGAGGTTCGTCGATAGACAGAACCAAGCTAGAGTTGGTTATATCGAGCGTTGACTCACGGCGTTGACCGGCGGCTTCCATGGCGGCGTGGCCCGAGCACACCAGACGTACGACAGAAACTTGTGATACAAGCGGGGGCAGGGAGGCATAGCTGACTATAGCGGGGGGGATGGTGCAGATTGACGAGCGTTGACTCACGGCGTTGACTGCGGCTTCCATGGCGGCGTGGCCCGAGCCGCTGACGCCGAGCGTGAACCGGTTGCGCGTCTGAAAGACGTACTTGAGCCACTCGCGCACGTCGTCCATCGCGGACAGCAGCGCGGGGTGCATCTGTACGCGATACAAGGAGAGAGGCACGCGATAAGAGAGAAGTTAGTATGTAGAACAAGACGATGGAGGATTGGAGGATTGGAGGATGGGCCGGAGGGGCGGCGATGGGTGAATGATAGACAAGGCACAGCGGGGGAGCGAGACGCCGCTACGGGAGCAGAAAGAGTGCTTGCGAAAGAGTGCTTGCGAAAGAGATGTTCGGCTTACATGGCCGACGAGGGGGCAGCCAGCGGCGGCGAGGACGCGAGGGTGGGGTGACGATGGGCCGGGGCCTGTGAGGGGGAAAAGAGAGGGGGGGGGGAGAGGGGTAATCATGGGAATGAGTCTGCTATTGAGTCGACTGAAACGAGAGGGTGTGGTTTCGAGGGGCCGGGGCCAGAGGGATGGGGAGGGAGAGAGGGGGGTTAGCGGGGGGTTAGCGTTGACGAGGGGGAACATGGGAATGCGTGACGGCCATGGGGGAAGGCGGAGGCATGAGAAATCCCCGAGGAATGGGGAACGAGAGGACAGGAGGCAAGGTCGAGACGCTGACTCACTCATGAGCAGCAGGTTGGGGAGCGCCAGAGGCGTGGTGGAGATGCTCGGCCTCTCGACCCTCGTCGCCGCGGCCGTTGCGGAAGTAGCCAAGGGAGCCATGGCGATGGATGTAGATGTAGCGCTAGCAAGGGTGGTAGCGAGGGTTCTTGAGACGTCTCAAGAAGGAGGGGAGTGCAGCGCGGCTCAGGGGCCACCCAACACTCGAGGCAGCAGCACGAGGAGGCCTCGGAGGCGCTTGTAGCTTACTGGGGGAGTGTAAGCTATGCCCACGGCTGAAGCGAGTATGGGGATTTTCGATCCAATCTATTTACAGATATTCACAATCAGTGCGGGTAGGGATGGATGGGCTGAAAGAGGAGGCAGGGGAGGCGCAGGGTCGAGGAGACCGAGGAGGAGGGAAGCGGGAGAGTAGTGGTACACGGACTGACGACGAGACGATCTGCTTGAGAGGTGCAAAGACGCGTTGTAAAACGCGAAGTTGTAGGCGAAGGCTCCGAGAGTGGCGGAGGGCGAACGGCCCTGCTGAGGTGTACACTGGAAGGCGGTCACCACCGTGGTCGGTCGCCTCGCCTTCAAGACTCCAAGACTAACCAACGACCTTCTTGGGTGAGTGAACGCGGCGAAGCTGAGGTGGAATCGTGGCAACAGCGAAAACGCAGCTGAATCTGAGTTCGCTGCGTCGAGCTGGCTGCGCTGCAGGGATGCTGAGCGGATTCAAGATGATAATGGTCGATGGAGATCCTCGATCGAGATGCGACGAATCTGTCCCGCGAACGATCCGCGGATTGCTGTCTGTGTTGACCGTGACTCTCGGGCGTGGCACCGCCACGTGGCACCGGATAACAGTAAGGCTGGAGGCTGAACAGCGTGTGGGGATTTGATAGGCGGACAGAGTATTGGCCGCAGAAATTCCGCGAGGAGTCTGAGAGGGAACTTCTCCGCCACGTCAGCAGCGCCGCTGTTAAGTTTGAAATCGGCGGCGCGGGTGTGCCTGCCTCGGCTCACGGGTGTGAGAGTGCGCGAGGGAGGTTCTTGAGTCTCAAACTGGCTTGACAGTAGGTGAAGCGACGGCGCTTTACAATCTCCGTCCGGAGTCCCTGGATGACGTCAGCAAACTATGTACACAAGCTGCGGCTGACACGCGCGTGGAGTAGTATGTACGGTATGTACAGCACCGAGAGTCAAAGTCGAGACGCGCTGATTCCGAGTGGTAGCAACCGGAGAGTATGTACAGCGCAGGTAAGCAAAGCTGAAATTTGCTGCTGGTTGTTGGGAGGGAAGTTGCGGTCGAAGTTATCGAGGTGGTAGTTCGAGTCGAGAGTCGGATTGCTGCACAGCTCAGTTGTACTTTGTCGACTTGGAATACCTCAGCCTTTTATACCCTCTGACTTGGCTCCCACCGATGCCTCGGTCGGGGAGTCCGGGACGCGTGTGGTGTGGAGCACTCGTTTCCCGCGCAGTGGTTTGAAAAATCGAACCGCAGTCGTCGGAGTCAGCTCGGAGCAGGTGTTCTGATGGGGTTCCTCCTCTCAGCACAGGCCCCTTGGTGGTCGGTAGAATCAAAGAATGTGGATCTCGCACAGTCCAAGGGAACAGCTCAGCAGGTAAGAGAGGAAATGTTCCCGAGGTTGAGTTTCCCGAGGGTTGAGTTGAGCTCTCGAGGAAGAAACAGCCCCCCTAACCGCTTTTGCTCGTCTATTCGTGTTAGGAATGTGGAGGATGCAATGTTTCTATGTTTCAGATGGGGTGTAGGAGGAAGTGAACGCACCGACGCGCGGCCCGGACATTCGTGTCGCGTCGCTCAAAGGAGTGTTAGCGACTGAGTCGAAAATGCAGCGAATGATGGAAGTCGCTGAATGTTTCGCATGACCATGTGCTGCAGACTCCGTGCTGACGCAGCTTTCCTCTGGCGGTACAAGCCAGCCAAGTCACGGAACTCGGAGCTAGCGTGGCCGTTTCAGGGGACACCAGGGAATAACAGGTTACCTCTCCACTAAGAATACGTAATTAGCATAACAAGTACAAAAACATCCTTCTTGCATACAAATTAGAGCAACCTTGGTCAAAATTACTTTCATGATGCCACACATCACCACCTAAGATGCTCCCTCCTGGTAATTCAGGAAGTGCTTTGATTTACTCCCTTTCATGGTGCCACACATTGCGAAACCACCCAAACTAAGTTGCCGCGTTCTTGGGAGTGAACCCTACGTGGTCAAGTGCATCCTTGAGGGCCTCCAGAAGAAGAGCCACGTTTGCAGGGCGAGCATTGTTCCCCATGAGACCAATTCGCCACACCTGGTAGAATGGCACAAAGCAAGGAAAGAAATTGGAGGCCATCATTTTTCACTAACCACCAAACCAGGAGTAAATGTGGAGCACGACTAGTCGACAAACACAAAAGTTGTGAACCACTTACTTGACTGCATGTAAAATCGTACCTTGCCAACTGTAGGGCCAAGCCCCCCAGCTATTTCCAGGTTGTATTTAGACATGAGGTGGCCTGTAACGGAACAGGGGTGAAGACAAGATTCAGGCAAAATTGGTACAAGGCACGTCGTTCAAGCGCATACACCAAATCGAGAAAGCTACACAATACACGAAACGATACGCCACATTGGTTAGCAAACCCAAACCGAGATTGGAGGGCGCTCGTCCTGCTGGAGACTGGTTCGCACCCACCTGTGACTTTAGCCCACTCCACGCCTTCAGGCACCTTCACTGTTGTCACGGTGGGCAGGCGGGAAGCATGGTCCTCCACATAGAGCTCCAGTCCCAGCTGCGATTAGAGGAGGGGAGAGGAAAGGGGAGGGGGGGGGAGAGAGAGGGGGGCGTGAGGGCGTGGGGATCGAAAGGTGGTCTGGCGGGAAGTGTGCTCCTCCACAAAAGGCTACAGTCCCATGTGAGATGGGGGGAGGGGAGAGGACGCAACGCCAGGGAATGTGAATGGAAGGTGGGTGGGGCACGACTCGTGGTCCTCCACAAACAGCTCCAGTCGCAGCCGAGAGGAGAGGGGGGGGAGAGAGGAGAGAGTGGCACAGGCGTGTGTGTGTATATGGCATGGACTTTGGCAAGTCCATGCCTGTCTGAATCCCTCTCACCCTCCCCTGCATCTGTGTGTGCATGTACGTGTGTGTGTGCTGGGTGTTGTGGCGTGTGTGCTTGTCTCAACTCATCACAAACTAATGGTCTGCACTCCCTCTCAGGTGGCAGTCCCCCTCGCCCCCACCCTCCAACCCCTCCATCCCCCTAGAATCCACCTCACCTCCTTGAGCCCTGCCCACAGCAGCTCTGCGTGGCTGCGATGGCGCTGCCACACATTTTCCAGACCCTGACGTGACAACAAGGGGGGAACAGGCAGATATACAGTCATATATTTTGAAATTAATTGCTGTCAGAACGAATCCTCCTCACGTGCATTTCTCAGGTCCCATATCGCTGAAAGGAGGAGCGGAAAGGAGGATTTGGGGGGCTGGGAGGGGGGGGGGGTGTGGGGTACATGGGAGCAAAACAAAGCGCGAAGAGTAGGGTGGAAATGTATGATGATAGGGTTGAATACAGAACCAATGACAGTGCAATTAAAAACCATACTACCATGATTGTGAAGACTAGAAAAATGTTCATGTGCTCGGAAAAAGAGGACGAAGGCGAGCAGGATTGACACGCAACTGGGGTCGAATGAACGCCTACCATTACCAAAAGAGAAGAAGGTAACCCTCGTTTAAATACCCCCACATGCTCTTGATACGTATCATATCTTTCATGGTTGGATTGGATCCTCACTCACCTCCTCTGCTAGCATTGCCAGGGCCTCCCTCATGGCGTTCACGTTGGTCACCAGGCCTGAGACACAGATGGAAGGGGAAAGCAGGGGGGGGGGGGGGGAAGGGGGGAGGGGGAAAGGTGGCGAGGGGAGGAGTGGAGGGGAGAAAGAGGGTACGTTAAGAGTGTTGCAGACACAGAGTCTATCTCCTCATCTGGCACATGGCGAGTGCCTCCCTCGTAGCGTTCACGTTGGTCACCAGGCCTGAGACGGTCGGAAGGGGCGGGGGGGGGGGGGGGGAGGGAGAGAGGGGGGAGAAACAGGGAGGGAAGGGCAGAGATGAGACAGTGCGTCCCCTCCTCTGCCCAGCATTGCAAGTGCCTCCCTCATGGCGTTCACGTCAGTCACCAAGCCTGAAGCGATTATAACAGGGAATCGAGGGGAGAGGAGGACGAAAGAGAGTAGACATCAGGTGAGATAGTGTGGTATACACCAAGGGTGGTTGAGGGATAGAGGCAATGATCTCGAAAAACTGTCCACGCTACAGAAGCATAAGCGTGTTATGGGCCATGGCATACCCGTGTGATGGTACTTGCGTGGCTGACCATCCACGCCCCAGTACTCCCCAACCTGCACACAAGGCGGCATGAGACGGGCATGAGATGGGCATGAGATGGCTGAAATAAGGACGTGACTGCAATCACAAATGGTGGGCCGGGAAGCATCATACACGTCATAGCCCAAGGTCCAACAGGATCATGACACGTGTCAAAGCTCGAAGTTGGGAAAGTACGCCTTCGGAGATTTAAAGCATGCTGTCGGGAACAAAGACAGGCCGTTTTTTGGAAGAGCCAAGGAGAGGCAGAGGAGACGCACACAGTTTAGCTCACAGTTTTGCACACAGTTTAGCTCCTTTGAAGATGTGAGCCACCAGGAGCATTACTCAGCAGGCGCATATGCCATTTTGTCCTCTTATTTCTATCCTTAAAGGCGTGTGTCTTACAGTTCCGGAACTCCGCAAGTTCCGGAACTTGGGCTGGTTACACAGTTCGCAGCACATTTCGACAGGGCTTCGCGAGCTCCTCCCCAGGCAAAATCTTCGCCAGTTCCGGAACTTCCAGAAGCGGAACCGTAAGACACACGCCTTAAGTCCATGTCTCCTCAGGTTTGCCTGGTACCGCGCTTGGTTACCAGGTTCACATGTTTCTGCTCTGTTGACTCACCAGGTTGATGTGCTTCCAGCCTCACGACTCACCAGGTTCATATCAAAGTAGTAGGATTGAACCTGCAGGCAACACGTGGGACGCGTAACAAGAAGGCGAGGAGAGGGAGGAGAGGGAGGAGAGGGAGGAGAGGGACCGAATCACACACAAAAGTGGCAGAGAAAAACAAGGCACTCTGTGAGGCGAAGCATATGACAGGAGAGAGAGAAAAAAGACAACAGCGACAGGAGAAAGCTGGAGAGGAGATTCATCACTACTTGTTGTTCCCTCCCTCCTTCCATTCCTCCCAAGATCTGTTTCCCCGGTCCAAACCCCCTTTCCCCTCACCCACTCGCCTGCACTCCTCATCTCACAGGTGTAGTACGGTTGGCGAGCTTGGCGCATGCCTTCTCGCTGAGGGAGAGCAGCGAGGGGGCGACGGGCGCAGAGAGACACTTGCGTTCCCAACCCTTCTCATGCACATTCCCACTCCCCTGTTCCAAATCTCAACTCACCGCCGTGGTACGGTTGGCGAGCTTGGCGCGGGCCTTCTCGCTAAGGGAGAGTGGCGAGGGGGCGACGGGGGCGGAGAGGCACTTCTGTGAGCCGCTGTAAATGACGTCCACGCCCCACGCGTCCACGTGCAGAGGCACGCCCCCCAGGGTGCACACTGCGTCTACAAACAGCAGCGCGCCTGGGATGATGGAAGGATAGGTGGGAGGGGAAAGTGGATGTGAAGGGGGCCGGGTGGGAGGGAGAGGTGGATGGATGTGAAGGGGGGCGGGTGGGAGGGAGAGGTGGATGGATGTGAAGGGGGGCGGGTGGGAGAGGGGAGCACACCGCGTGAGCCGATGTAGATGACGCCTACGCCCCACTCGTCCACGTGCAGGGGGGCGCATCCGAGGTGCAGACCGCGTTTACAAAAAGCTTTTGAGTCGACTCAAAAGCACCCCACTCGTCCACGTGCAGGAGGCGGCATTCGAGGGTGCACACCACGTTTACAAAGAAAGACTACTTGGCCTGGGAGGAACTAGATTTGAGTAAGGGGGAATGTGCAAGGCTGCATATACATGTAAGCAAAATCCTCACTGTTCTCATGGCAGAGCTCCCCAACCCAACCCCTCCAGCGGCTGCCGACTCGCCGTGCGCCACAAACACCATCTTCACGCCCAAACTATCTTCCTAACAAGCAAACCCAACATATGTACTCACCGTTCTTATGGCAGAGCTGGCAGAGCTCCCCCAACCCCTCTAGTGGCTGCAGCGTGCACATGTTCGACACCCCGTGCACCAAAAACACCACCTTCACGCCCCAATATCCCCGTTACAAGCAACCCCCCTCACCGTTCTTGTGGCAAAGCTCTCCCAGTCCTTCTAGAGGCTGCAGAGTCCCCGTGCTAGACTCGCCGTGCACCACGAACACCACCTTCACGCCCGGGTTCTCCGCCAGAGCTTTCTCCACGTCAGCAAGGGAGAACACCTTGCCTGGAGCCGCCTCCATCCTCCTGACGTCAGCGCCGTACCGAGCCGCCAGCACGGTCATGCGCTCGCCCCAGATGCCGTTCACACCCACCAGCACCGCATCGCCTGGCTCCACCACCTGTTGGAAAAATACAGAAGAACACATATATCAAACTGATCAAGACTGTCATGCGCTCGCCCCAGATGCCGCTCACCCCCACCAGCACTGCATCGCCTGGCTCCACCACCTGATATGGGGGAGAAGAGAGGAGGTTCCATCTTGTAACCAAGCCACAGCAGTCACCGATTGCGTAGGACGCGCTCGTTGTGTCCAAAATTCTCAAAAACTGCTGTTTGGCCGCGTGCTAACCACTCTGGCTCACCGTGGCGACTGCTGCTTCCATGGCGGCATGGCCGGAGCCGCTGACGGCGATGGTGAACGGGTTGCTCGTCTGGAAGGTGTACTGCAGCCATGCCTTCACCTCGTCCATGACGGTGAGAAACTCAGGGTGCATCTGTTTGCGCGAAAGGGAGAGGGAAGGAAGGGGGGGTGTGGGGGGGAGGGGAGGAAGAGGGAGGGGGAGTTTGGAAGGTGTACTGCAGCCATGTCTTGACCTCGTCCATGATAGCGAGGAATCCAGGGTGCATCTGTTTGAGTATGGAGGAAGGAAAGGGGGGGAGAGGGGGGGGGTGGCGGAGGGGATAGGCAGAGTTGACATGCTTCGATGCTCGTTAATGTCGAGGAGTACTGCAGCCATGAGTTCGTCCAGATGGGCAAAAGCTCGGGCTGCATCTGTAGCGCAGTACTATCTGAACCTCGAAACTTTCCAAGGAGAACGACGTTTATATATCATATAAAAAACGGAAGTGCTACTCACGTGGCCGATGAGAGGCAGGGATGCGGCGGCCAGGACACGAGGGTGGGGAGTTGCAGGGCCAGGACCTGAAACCACAGTTGCACGCCATGGCGAGAAACATAATGACGACACAAACTTATGATGCATAATCATCGCGATAGAAGCCTAGTTTTGAGGCGCCTCAAAACTAGACTTTTATCTCGGGGTGGGGAATTGCTGGGCCAGGACCTGAAACCACATGTCATGGGTCAATGAACAGACTGAGGAACAGCATCGTGATACAGACTGATGATGCCAAATTTAAGTAATATGCCATCAATGACGTCACGATGCCGTGAATTGTACCGTAATTACGACATCATTTCAGGAGTACGGTCGCGTGAGTGGTGTCTCGAGTGATTCTGGTCCCATTATTATGCTGTTCTTCCAGGTTGAAAAAACGTTTCGAAAAGGCGTACCCATGAGAATCCTATTAGGAAGGCTCAATGGCGTCGTCGAAAGCGCGGGCTTGCTAACTTTAAGTTCCGCCATGGCTGTCAAATCCACAGTCGTCACAAAAGTATCCGCAGCAGCACCGCCTTGGTGTATCTGCGCCTGAGCTACACCGACGTAAAGAGCAGAGAACGAAACCCAAGCAAGTGAAAGTACAAACGGAACAAGAACTGCCAAGGAACTGCACGCAAAGCCGCTGAAACGGAGGTCAAATCGGACTAACCGTGGCCGAAATCCGCTTCTGGAGCAGCACTTCTGAAAAACGGAATCAGCCATGACTGAATCTCAATTTGTACATTCATGGATTGAGCCATTTTGCAAACCTCCTCTGGGAGAAGTATTCCCACCAGCAGTCAGCACATTGTGGACCAGTGGTCCCCACGGAAAGATTTTGCCGCGTGAGCATGATGTGGCGCCAGGCCTTGCAGGCGTCCGCGGAACCAGCTCCGAAGGCACAACACCGATGAATCAACCTCGTGGCCGACCACGTGGACCTCATGACAAGTAGGTCCATGTTCATTCCGTCCTCGGAACAGAGTGCCTTGGAAGCGATCTATAATCAGTAGATTGCGAGGCGCACTGTTAAAACCCGCACTCGCACTGTTAAAACCCGCACCCCAAATTGCGAGGCGCGGCCTTCAAAACGCAGTGCGTTTGAAAGTTGCGTTTTTGTGGGTGTATTGGGGGGTAACGAGACTCTCGCACCCCTCCCTCCACTCCCTCCCCTCCATCCGCTCCCTCCCCTCCCTCCGCTCCCTTCCCTCCCTGCTCTCCCCCCCCCTCCCTCCTCTCCCTCCCCTCCCTCCTCTCCCTCCGCTCCCTCCTCTCCCTCCCCTCCCTCCCATCCATCACTCCGGCCCTGTGCTTGTCACCTCAGGCCGCTGCTCTCCAGCCCCTCCTCCTGCCTGCGCTGGTACAGCTGACTCCTCTGCAACCCTTGCCCCATCCTCCGACTGTGCTCCAGTGTTCACTGGTTCCCCCTCTTCTGGGCCAGGGGCGACCTGTTGGACCTCTGGATATACTCGTGCAAATATCTCTCGCAGCTCCACATTCTCGCTTGCATCCCCTCCTGTAGCATCCCCTTCTTGTCCGGCGTCAGCGCCGTCCTCCTCTGCACCATTCCCGTCCCCTTCCTCTCCATCCTCATCCTCCCCATCCTCATCCTCTCCATCCTCATCCTCCCCATCCTCATCCTCCCCATCTTCATCCTCTCCATCCTCATCCTCCCCATCCTCATCCTCGTCTGCCACTCCCTCCTCATCATTCGGAAGCACCGCCTCCTCCCCATCTCTCTCTCTCTCTCTCTCTCTCTCTCTCTCTCTCTCTCTCTCTCTCTCTCTCTCTCTCTCTCTCTCTCTCTCTCTCTCTCTCTCTCTCTCTCTCTATCTGCTCCCTTTACTCCCTCTCCCCCTGCATCCTCATTGGTTTACATAATACCCCCCTGCGGTGCATACTGCCGCATGCACTGCATGAGCCCACACTCGCGGGTGCCTCGGCTCGTGTGGCTGTTTGAATATTCAAGTGCCCTTGCGGAGTTCTCAAGTTTTCCCAGAGTTTCTGAATTTGCACTCTCAGATCGCATGTCAGCCGGTTATGCCCCTTCTCGCCACACTTACCAAACTTCCGCAATTTCCTCCCATTGATCTCACCATGTGACCTCAGCCGTCGCACGCGTGGCCTCTCGGACTTCTTCGGATAAAGAGGGGGCAGAGTGATGCCATCTGGAGTGAACTCAGTGGGGTCGAGGCTGGAAAATGTGAAGCTATAGGCCTCCTTCAGTGCCGCTGGAGTGTAGAAGCTTTCTACCACATCCATGGCGCCAGAACCATCACCATGCTGTTGGAATGTCGCGAAGATGTGCATGCAGTGCAAACCATACTCGCTGCATATAGCGAGGAGGGGTGTAGAGGTGAAAAAAATCTCTTTTTGTGGTTTGACAGCAAGTACATCTAACTGATCACAAGCTGTCACCTAGGAAGCATGCATTAAGTGTGTGGTGGATAGTACCTTGTGTAGTTTCACGAGGAGGCCGATTTCTTGGGCTCTTCAAGATTGATGGCCACGCGCTGTTGCTCATTCCCCGTGTTCCGTGTCACTTTGTATGTGAAGCGGCTGCTGCTCTGTGGCTCGTCAGGGAGACGGCTACTGTTCTGTAGCCCGAGCGGACCTTTCAGCTCCGCAGAGTATGCCGTGCCATTCTCCCGATTCTCCTGGATGATGGCAGCTGTGTTTTTTCGGAAGTCAGCATCGTTGAGCCGCCCATACGCGATCCTCATCTCGCACGTGGAGGTCGCCTCCCTCTGGATAAAAGCAAAAAGAACTTGGGCAGGGTTCTGCCTCCTCAGGCCACGCATGGATGCATGGTGGGACTCCACAGGGTTAGATGAGTAACACCCGTACCGTGGAGCCCCAAACAAGGATGCTGCCCATTTCAGGGCCAAGCCATCCCGCTCCAGCCATTCCTTCCCACTAGGGCCCTCCTCCTCCACCTTCTGTACCATCCCCCTTTATACATCCTTAGTCAATGCAGACGCGGCTAGCTCAATCTTGCCATCCAAGGAAGAGCCAACCTTAGAGTTGAAGTTCCTTGTGATGTGAGTGATGCAGAAAGCCTCGAGGATCAGAGGCAACATGATCAGCCTGGCTGAAGTCCACGTCTTCCCACGATCATACATGAGCATGAATCTCGAGTTCAGCTCTCGAACAGCCTCATGGAGGAGCTGGAGAAAGTAGGCACAACCATTGATGTTCTCACTCTTGACCCATGCAATACCCATTCGCACTAGCATGTGCTCACAATCCAATAGGACAGCATTGAGCGTGTAACCACGCCATATCCCCTTGTTGTGACAGCCATCAACAAAAATGATGGGTAAGCAGTTGAGGGCAATGGAAAGGTCACCCCCGCTCGTAAACCTATCCCCCTTCTTAACCATAGACACAACGCTTGTGGAATTCTCAGACTTGAAGTTTTCCAAGATACTTTGCATGTACTAGAATCCGTTGTCTCCAGCTAATGCATCCTCTGCCTCCACCTCCTTCAGGAAACGATCAGCTAAAGAGTACAAGCAAGTGGTGCCTAAGTTCTCTTTCACGAGTTGCATCACACCATGGGACACCATGTGGGGGATAAGCTCGCGCAATCTCTCTCACATCTGGTTTCCTCACCCTCCCTGGACCAAATGTGCACCTACCAGCATGCTTCAAACACACTTCTCTGATGCTAAATCTGCATCCCCAAGGACCCCTTGCCAAGCAACAGAAAGGGCAAAAATATGACGAAAATTCTGCACCCTCGTCAGGCCACACCTCTCCTTCCATCGACTTACACCGTGCGTCAACACGCTCTGCATCATTGCAATGGAAATGCATATCAAATATCTTCTGTCGAGCATACTGCTGGATCAGTTCTTGTACCTCCTTCATGGATGAGAAGACCGTCCCCACCGTGAAGTCGGCCTCGCTAAGGCCGTGCACCATGAAAGGGCTGCGGGGACGAACACACAAGAGCGCAGCGGGATGTGATGCGTTGTGGGTGGGTCAATGAGTGGCAATCTGAGTGTTGTGAGTGGGACTACGCTTGGCAATAAAGTTTGGGAGGGACATCGATTGACAAGCAAAGAGAAGTGGGAGGGAAGAGGTGCAACCAGAGAGTAATGAGGGTGGGGCTCTATGTCGCAAGCAGGATATGGATGACAGAGTGCACCTCAGGGTGAGGAGATAGGAGAAAGACGTATGGAGAACAGTTCTTGGTAGCACAACAGGTTAAAACCTTCAGCAACGCAAGTAAGCAGTGAATATTCCTCACCTAGAGATCGGGCTATGAAACCTCCCGTGGCAACCTTGTGAGGCCGGGCCTTTCTGGAGGTTACGAGCTCATTGATGCAGGGGCAGATGTGGAGTTGCATGGCAAAGCGGAATCGACAGCTGGGCTGGGTTACTTGACAAGTGGTTTGGTGAGGAGGGTAGTGGGGAGAGGGTATGGCTGAAGTCCCTGGGGATAGAAGGAAACGTCAAACGTGGGCGTCCGACCAGCAAGTGCAAAGGTAAGGCCTTCATGGGCGGATTGAGAGGGGATGAGCGGAATGAAAGGGGAAGGCGGATTGGAAAAGGATGGGCGGGCTGAGAGGAGATGGGCGGAATGAAAGGGGAAGGCGGATTGATGGGGGATGGGCGGGTTGAGAGGGGATGGGCGGCATAAAGAGGATGGGCGGAATGAGACGGGATGGGCGGATTGAGAGGGGATGGGCGGATATAGAGGGGATGGTGGATTGATGGGGGATGGGCGGAATGAGAGTGGATGGGCGGATTGAGAGGGGATGGGGGAATGAGAGGGGATGGCGGAATGAGAGGGGATGGGCGGATTGAGAGGGGATGGGCGGAAGGAGAGGGAATGGGCGGAATGAGAGGGGATGACGGATAGAGAGGGGATGGGCAGGTTGAGAGGAGATGGGCGGAATGAAAGGGGTGTCAGAATAGCAGAATGACTAGAAACAAGAGAGAACAAGGGAGATATAGGGTTGGAGATGTACCCTCTCAGAACATAAATCTATCTAGCCTATAACTTCTACATACAAATATATGTATAAGTTAACACACCCCCTAGGCTAGATAAGGGGCAATGCTGAGCAAAAAACACGTATAGGCTACTAGTCCAACCTCTGAGGTAGGGGTCCGAAGACCAGTCAGCAAGAGTACCAACAAGAAAATAGCAAACTAGGGTAGCCCTACTAGTCTGGACATTGGAAGTGAAGCCACAAGGACAATCAAAAGATATATATAAAGAGGAGTGCACAATCAAGGTCATATCAAGTGAGTAGCTACAGGAACTAGACCAAGCTGCAAATAGTGCCGCTGATGATCTTTAGGCGCAAACGCCGTAGTAAAGATATCAGCAGTGCTGGCACCGGAGGCCTAGTGTACTACGGGGGCCTGGCAATGCTGCTGTAGCTCGCGCAGGAGGAAGTACCGCAGCTAGATGTGCTTCGCTCTGCCCTCAAGTCAAGGCTCCTGACATAGGAGGATCATGGCCCTGTTGTCAGCGTACAGAACCGGGGCAGAGCTAGGCCGCTCACCAAAGTCGGTGAGCAAGAAGGTTAGCCAGTGGAGCTCCTGTGGCGCCATGGCACTGGCGTAGATCTCACCGTCACAGCTAGACTGGGCAACAGACGAGGAGCGAGTGGACCTCCACGAGATGGCACCCCAACCAAGGCTAAAGCAGTAGCCCTGGGAGGACCTAAGGGACTCAGCACTGGCTGCCCAAGAAGCGTCTGTGTGCCCAGTAAGGACCACTGGCCTGCGTCCTCCCAGCACTAGCCACATACCCGATGTACTTGCTAGATAACGCAAAACCCTCTTAACGGCCTACCAGTGTTGTGGTCGGTGTATCCCCGTGGCCATAAAGCAAGCCAGGATGCTGAGAGAGTATGGGAGATCTAGACGAGTGCAAGTCATCAGGTATATGAGGCAACCCACAAGCTCTGTCTAAGGGCCACTGGGCTCTACTGACTCCTCGGAAAGTGGAGCTGAGAGCCTGTGGTCTACTGGCACAGGTGGGGGTTGTGCGGAGGAGAATTGAAGACCGAACTTCTGAAGGACTTGACGCACCAAGTGTGACTGTGTGAGAGTGATGGTGCGCGCTGCTCTGTCCCTGGAGATCTGCAGGCCAAGGTAGCGACACAGCTCTGCTAGGTCAGTGCAAGTGTGTCTCCTCAGCAGCTCGGCCTTCACGGAGGCCAGTGCGTCTCTGTTTGCAGTAGCGAAGACCAGATCGTCCACGTAGACAAGGTTGTAGAACAGAGTCTAGCTAGCACGAACGAAGAGCGAGGGGTCTGCAGAGGACAGAAAGAACTGCAGGTCAGCTAGTGTAGCACGCAGCATGTTGTGCCACTTACGAGGCGTTTGTCGCAGGCTGTAGACAGGGCGGCGGAGGAGACACTGGGTCCCAGGAGGGAAGATACTGGTGAAGCCCTGTGGACGGCGCAAGTAGACCTGCTCGTGTAGGCTGTCATTAAGAAAAACAGTAGAGAAGTCGAGGGAGTGGAGCTCGTAGTCACGCTGTGCTGCCACGTATTGCTCGTGACCAGGGAACGTTGTGGTGACGCCGAGGTCCTGAAGACATCCGACACCAACTAAGTTCCTGGAGAACGAAGGGATGTGCAGGCGTGTAAGGGAACCCGAGGGGACCGCTGGACAGGGAAGGGTATTGTAGCTGCGAGCAACGACAGGACCAGAAGAGGGGTCAGCGATTTCGACAGCGGCAGGCGCGGCAAGCGGCTTGAGGGTGGCGTGGTCGCGGAAGAAGCAATCAGACGCACTGGAGTCAAGTGTGAAGGACAGCGAAGCACTAGCGGCAGACGAAGGAGGAGCGAGTGTGGAGCCCAGGCTAGACAAAGCAAACGGTCCTACGCCTAACGCAGCAGCGGAGTCTATACTACACACAGGTGCTACGCCTAAGCTAGAGAACACAGGGTCATAAGATCCAAATACACTAGAAGCGTCAGCATACAGAGAATGTAGGGCAGAATTAGTCTGATCCATGTCTAACTCAAAAGCACGCACGCCGTGGCGCAACAGACTGGGCCAGTGAAGGAGGTCCGGGCCTTGGCCGAAGCGGCGACAAAAGTGGTCGTAGAGGCAGCGGAAGCAGCGGGCAGTC